CTCCTCCTCACTTCCTCTCCCCCGATCCTCTACCCAGGGTCCTGCAGACTTGACCCCCTGGATTACTCCTCTTCCTCCACCCCCAGCCCCCAGCTTGCCTTTTCTCACCCGTGCCCCATGTGGGAGGCTCTGCCTGCCTGATCCCTTCCCCGCTTCCTGAAGGGAGCTCTAACACAGAGGCAGAGGCGGACTCCGCACTCATTGGGCCTCCTTGTCAGCCTCCTGCCAGCCTCCCCTCACTGGGTTCTGCTCTGTGGACTTAGGCTCCCACTCACCTTGCCTGCATGCTGGGCCCTACTTTTGAACCTCTGCTCATGCCCACCTTCTGCCTGGCACACCCCCTCCAACTTACCTACGTCAAATTCCCCTTTCTCCCCCATTTCAGGCTCCCCTCCACCCCCAGGACTTGCTTCTGCCCCCACAGGGCCATCGAGAAGCTCTCCACTCTGGCTCCGTCTGGAACATGATGGCCCTCCTGCCCTCGCTCCTTGGCAGCCCACTGTCCACGCCCTCACTGGTCTCAAAGGGAAGCCTGTCCCTGCCGTACTTGAGATCCCCCAAGGTCCCCATGGCCTCCCACATGGAGCCAGGCTTCCCTTGGAGTCAGGGCCCTCCCTGCCTCATGGCCACCGTCCCCTCCTCTCGCCCCTGCAGGTGTGCAGCGCTCTGAGGAGCAGCCTCTTCTCCCATCCTGCTGCTCTGCCTGGGCCCTCTTCTGCTTATTTGTCTGGCTCCCCCCTTAAATCTCCCCTCCCCGTGCCTTTGCCTTCCTCTGGAGAACTTCCTTTCCTCTGGTCCACACGTCCTAGAAGAGCTCATCCCAGCATCCTGCCCCACCCAGCCAGGGCCGAAGGCCTGCACCCCAGGGATTGGCTCCCGAGGGTGGCATGTGACCCAAACTGGGCCAATCAGGAACTTTCCCTGAGATTGTGTCACACTGAGAGGGAAGAGCTCTCTTCCACCTTTGCTGTTACTGGCTGAGGTGACCGAGGCCCCCAGGAGGCCTATAGTCATACCCAGTCCCTCCCCCAACCAGTGGATGGAGCTGCATGGTGTCCGGAGAACGTGGGGCCACGGCAATGAAAGAAGCTGTGCAGAGAGAGAAACTGAATATTCGGTAAGTTGCTGGATCCAGCTATACCTGAAGACAGGAGGACTCAGTCTTCCAAGTTTCTCCAGCCAATAAATATTATTTGTTGATTTTAGTTTGTGTAAGTTGTGTAAGTTCTTTACTATTTAACCAAAAGGGTCCCAACAGAAACAGGGGCCAGCCGGAGTCCCACAGGATTAGGCCTTTCCCTCTGTGCTGCTTTCCAACAGCACTCACCCCTGAAGAGTAGAATTACCTGTCCGCGTGTCAGGTGAGGGCGGTTTCTTTCTGAGTTTCTGATACAGTGAGAGTTTCTTCAGTGAGTGGGTGAGGAATCAGTGGGGGCAAAGCCGATCATCCCCACAGCAGACATTGAAGACCCCTGTCGGCCGCCGGCTCCTCCCCATGGTGGGATCCACAGGCTCCCACTTCCCCACACGGCCCCTCTTTTGTCCTGGAGATCAAGGTTTAGTGGGCACCTGCACCTGCCAGAGGCCACGCTGGAGGCCCGGCCTGTTGTTACCTTTGGTCTTCACGGGACCCCCCCCCCTTTAACAACCAGGGTCCTCAGACTCAGGGGGGTGAAGAATGGCGGGTGGTGGTCAAACGGCCTACGTCCAAGGTCCCTGGAGACCCACCCGGGCTCAGCTTTCTGCCCCACACCCTGAGCTGATGACGCCGTGGCTCTCACCGGGGGTCCGTGGGCTCCCCAGCCCTCCTGCATTTGGAAACCACTGGCTTCCGGGAGCATGTTCTCTGGGACCCTCTAGGTCTCAGGGGACCAAAGTCCCGTTTGCTCAAGGGTGGGGCCTGGATGCCCAGGGGAGCACGGCAGGGGGACGGCAGGGACACGGCAAAGGGCTGTGGAGAAAGCAAAGCATTTGCTGAGGAGTTTCTCCCTCCCAGGCCTGGGTCGGATGCCTCTGGAGCATGTACTTAGAACCCGTGACTTTGCTTACTGGCCCGAAGATTCCCAAAGGAAGTGACAAGGTGGAGAACCGAGCGGTCCTGTGGCCACCACCCCGCTCCGTGCTGCCACCTCTGTCCCCTGACCCCACACTGTCCTCCCACCTGGCCCAGTGGCCTCCCTCTGGGCTGTCCTCCGTGGGCACAGTCCCCTGCTTCTCAGTGACCTCAGGAGGAAGGCCAGAGTCCTTAAGGTGGAGGCCCTGACGGCCGACGGCTGTGTCYGTCTCAAGGTCTTGCCACCCTTTAGTGCAGCTGTTTCTCTCCTGGGGACATCGTGTGTGCTGCCCCTGCAGCCTGGAGGGGCCTCTCCACGTGACACAGGTGTGCACACAGACCCTGGCCGCCTCCTGCGCATTCTCAGGGTCTCAGCTTCATGGTCACTTTCTCACACAGGCCCCCTGACAGATCCTTCCCCTCCAGAGTCTAGTTAGTTCCTCCTGTTATCCCTCTTATGAAATCCACACTGTTCCTGGGAGGGTCGTCTGCTCCACAGTCATTCTGCAGCTATCTGTGTGTTTAGCCTCTGTTTATCCCGCCTGTGTGAAAGCCCTGGGAGGACAGGCTTGCGTGGGGTTCCATTGCTGCTCTGTGGGCAGCACCTGGCACAGGCCGAGTGTAGACAAGCAAGTGCTCAAGCTGTGCCCATCCGGGCAGGCTTCCTCCTCTGGCTCTGTGGACACCACTGCTCTCCGCGGGTCCCTGCAGGCTGGCCCTCAGACTTTGGCATCCAGGATGCCCGCTTTTGGGCCCCAGGAGGTCTCGCTGCCCCTGAGGGGTCACTAGCCGTTGCTTTGCCTCCCGTGTGGGCCTCAGGGCCACCGTGGGGGTCTGATCCTGGAGAGCACCAGCGGTCATGCTGCAGGTCCTGGTGGACAGGGATCTGTGGTGCAGCCAAAGCTGGGTAGAAAGGGTCCCAGGAAGGGCCCGCCTGCCCCTGGACGCACAGACGGGGCACCACTGTGCGAGTGTGCTGTCCCTTCTGCCACTCTGCACCCAGCTTGGCGCGCCCTCCCCTCCCCCATGTTGTTCTTTCCAGCGCCCATTCCATACCCAAGCCCTGGGGGGTTGGTTTGCTCCCTTTTGGACAGGAGTAAAGCACAGGTCCACGTGGCCCGCTCACCACCGTGAGGTTGGCAGTGACAGGCGTCATGCGCGTCTCACTGAGTGACTGCCTTCAGTCCACGTGTCTGCAGCTGTCCTCTCCCAGCCCCTCCTCAGGTCCATCCTGGCACGTGGCACTCTCTGTGCCACAGATTTTCAGGACTTAGCAGGTGCCCCCTCCCCTCCGGCAAGCACAAGGCAAAGGGCCAGAAACGGAAGGCCAGCGCTGCGGGGCATTACTGGGCCCTGGTCAACATGGGGCTGGGCGGTCTCGAGAGCTCCATCGGGACTGATTTCCTCTCCAAGTCGGGTCTCTGTGTGGTGACCCTCCTGACATTTTGGACACGGCCAGTCTTTGTGTGTGTGTGTGTTGGGGGGTCACAGGATGCTGAGCAGCAGCCCTGGTCTCCAGGCACTGGATGGCAGGAGATTCCCCTAACCAGCTGTCTGTCCAAAATGTCCCCAGATGTTATCCAAGTCCCACTGGGGGCAAAATCACACCCAGTACAGAACCACTGCTAAAAGAAGTGCTCCCTGTGTCTGGCAGTGAGGAGCCCGCTGCCCCTGGGCCCTCTGCCGGCCACCTGGACGGCAGCCCCAGGCAGGGAGTGGACACCCCCCCTCCTGGTCCCGGGGGGCCGGGAGTGCAGTGCGTGGTGTGAGCTCTGGGACCAGGACCCTGGGCTGAACTCTCAGATCTGTCACCGCTCTCGTTAGACTCAGCAAGTCCCTCCTTCTCTCTGTCACCACCACATCCGTGACGGGCAGATTGAAGACGGTGAGCTCATTCCTGAACTCTGGTGAAGATCAAGTGCTCAAAAAAAGTGACCAGGGATCACTGCGTTTGTCAAAGTCTAGCCCGAGTCCATGTCCGCCCCCCACCTCTGAACCCAAAGGATCGATGGCCTGGGTCTTGCCTCAAGAAAATGTCTGACGCGGGCATTTTCAAAGGGCACCTCGGGTTCCTTGCCAAGATCAGCTGGCAGCCAAGGAACCAGTGACGGTCCCGCACTTCTGTGGGTACAAAGTTGGTTCTGGGGTGCCCTCTCCCCTTCCAATTGCTGACGCTACAGCTTTAGGCCACCCCTGCAGCAGCCCAGCTCGCTGCCCACCCTGGAGTCCCCGTGGGCCCCACGCAGCAGCTGCCCACAGTCACCAGGGGACCTCCAGGGTTCCCATTCCTGCTCTGCCCCCCCTGAGACCTGCTTCCCCCTCTGTGGAATGAGGGTAGTCAGGGCAGAGACCCTCCAGGGCCAGTGTGCAGGATGCGCCAAATGCCAGCCATTGACCCTGTTATTAGTGATTTAATTTTACAAGAATTCAGAAAACAGAAAGCAGGTGACAACGGGACCGTAACCAAGTCCCCTGCATCCCTCCTCTGGGGACCTCTGGTGTGTCTGGCTGGTGTAGCCATGCCCCGCGAGCTGCTGGGAAAGACGGGTGTCCTGTCCCCAATTTGCTAGAGACTGAGGAGGGTGGGAAGGGAGAAGGGGGAAGCCCAGGGCCCTGCCACGGCTGGGCTTGCAGCTGCCAGAGGAGGACAACTGGGTTAACCTGCGAGAAGCAGACCTGGGGGAAGCAGCGAGGGCCAGGCCTGAGGGCTGTGATGCGCCAGGGTGGAGGGGCCCTGGGGTGGGCGCCAGTGCAGGCAGGAGCCCCGCCGCCCCTCGCAGGCATGGCCCAGGGCTCAGCTCCAATGCAGGCCAGGGGTTTGTGGGGGCCAACGTGCCCCGCCAGTGGTGCTTTCAGAGAGCTCCGCTCCTCCCTTGAAAGACCAAGGCAATGCCGTGCCTCAGGGCGGGCAAGGAAGGGCGCGGGACAGCGCTGCAGGAGGGCTGACCTAGGTTGGCAGCTCCTCTTCATCCACCTCCTCCTCGGAGCCTCGCTGTCTCTCCTCCTCCTCGTCTTCCATGTCTGAACCTCTTCTCTGCTAAAGAAGAAAACAGAATGTTTCTCCGACATTGGCCCCACGTGGCCAGAGGCAGCCCTGCCTGAAGCCTGCCAGCTCTGCCCGGGCGAGGGCCTGTGGGTGCTCAGGGCTGGCAGGGGTGAAATTGACGGTCCTGCGCCTGCTCTTCCTCCTGGGGTTTCGCCTGCAGGTAGACATGACACCTTGCAGGGCTGACCTAGGGCTGGACATAAGGGGTGCAGGGTGCCATCAGAGACAGCTGCAGGCCTGGGGATGCTTTCTGTCCACCGGAGACTGGAGGCAACTGCAGAGACTAGGAAACGGGGAGGACCTCAGGCCAGGACCTCAGGCCTTCGGAGGCTCAGCCTCACCTGGAGTGTTCAAGCTGAGGGGAGGAATACATTTTGGGGATGGAGGCACCCAGCACAGGGCCTGTTGGCCATATCACACTGTAAAAGGTGGCCAAGGTCGCCTTCGCCTCCTGAAGGGCTGGACGGGCCAGGGGGTGGGTGGGAGGAGCTGCCGGCCAGAGAGCAGGATCCCTGCCTCTGCCGCAGATGGAGGGAGCTCTCTGCCCTCCCRCCCCACTCAGTGCGAGAACAAAGGGGCCCCTCTCCAAGTGCTTCCAAATGCCAAACGCCCCCCACAAGCACCAGCTCCTTAGCCCAGCGGGAGGGGGGCCAGGAGGGGTGTTCTCCCCCCACCCACTCCACCAGCCACCAAGAACTGCCCACGCCAACCATCCAGCTTCACGGGGGGTGGGGGTAGGGGACACCGTCAAGGGGCCTGCAGTCACACAGGGCCTGAGCTTGGAAGTCACACGGGGCCTGCACTTGATCATCGCCCTGGTGACACTTGTTCAAATGCTAAGGCCTCCAGGACTCGCCTCTCTGCCAGCTGGCCGTGCCCRGGTCACCACGCATGCTCAGATGCGCCTGCCGTGCGTGACACGGGGACACCCTGCCCTCAAGGAGCCTGAAGTCCATTGGGAGGCAGAACCCCAGGAAGGAGCCAGCCATTCCTCCCAGTTGCCAGATGGACAAATGAGGTCACCCGGGGAGTCTGCAGGCGGGCAGAGCCGGCTCGGCCCCTCCCCGCCCCCACCCGGCCCCCCCAGCACCCACCCGGTCCCTGCCAGGGCGCCTACGGGCTTGGGCTTCTTCTCCATGGCCTCTGCCTCCTTCTTCTTCAGCTCCTGGAAGATGACGCTGAAGAACTCCTCCTCGGCCTTGGCCACCAGGTCCTGCAGGTCCACGGCCAGCTCGTCGGCCCGCTGCTCATCGTCCTTGCCCTCCGCCCTGCCCTTCTCCTTCAGCCGCATCTCTCGGTGCCTGGCCTCCAGGATCTTCTCGCGCCGGGTCTCGCGCTCAAACATCTGAGGCACAGGGGACAGAGGCCAGAGGGGAGGGTGGGCCAGGCCGGGCTTCTACGGAGCTGTCCTCACTCTACTCAACGCAGGGCCAGGGTCCAGGAAGGACAGCTCAATACTGGGCAGAGGCTGGCGCAGGGAAACCAGTGTTCAATGCCCAGGAGCACCAAGCACACGGGCCACAGGTCAGGGGGCCCTTGGGGCTGTGCAACATGGAGGCCCTGGGTCCAGTGTAGGACCAGCTCAGTGGAGAGGCTCCAGTCTCAGCCAGAGCCCCAAGGCTCTCCCAGGCCTTGAACTGGGGGCTTTCAACCCCACAGTGAGCCCCCTGCTGCTCCCAGGGCTGCCCAGGGAGGGGGCAGCAGTGCTCTCTGCCCCTCCCCGAGGCAGATCCCTTCCATCTGTCACCTCTATTGACATCAGCTAAGCCTTCATTAGAACTGATCTGATGCTAAAAAATGATTTTAAAAAAAATATTGTTTGAGCCAGGCGCAGTGGCGCACTCCTGTAATACCAGCGGCTTGGGAGGCTGAAGCAGGAGGATCATGAGTTTAAAGCCAGCCTCAGCAACTTAGTGAAGCCCTAAGCAACTCAGTGAGACCCTGTCTCTAAATGAAATACAAACTAGGGCTGGGATGTGGCTCAGTGGTTGAGTGCCCCTGAGTTCAATCCCTGGTACCATTTTGTTTGTTTGAAACTGGACAAATGGACCCTGTCAAGTCACTTTGGTTTCTGGCTAACCCAAGGTGGGAGGTAGAGAGACTTTCCCACGGGGTGAGCTGCCCGATGGTCAAGCACAGGCGGGTGGGCAGAATTGACACCATTCACAGAAGTCACTTCAGGACATCACACTGCCACCCACAGATGTGTCCACCGTGTCTCAGGGGGTCGGAGGGAGGGGACGGGTATTGCCCAGGCACCCGGTACTTACAGAAGACGCTATGTTCCTCTCGTTCCTCTGGAGGGTGGAGAGCCCGCTGGAGACTTCTAGCAGGGTGGTGGTCCCCAGCTGGGAGCCACAGGCAACGAGACATCCAGTGTCCTGCACCCGGAGGCAGAAGAGGGCCTCGTCACACACCTGTGGGAGAGCCGATGGGGAGGGAGGAGCAAAGTCACATTTGTCTGACCAACTGACCCCTGGGGAGACCTAGCCCCCCAGCCCTGTTCCCTCGCTGACACCCCTACTCCACAGAGTGACGGCAAACCCAGAGACTCGCCGTCAAGACCCTCAGCCTGACCGCGCACCGTGGTGTGCACCTGTGATTCCAGCAACTCGGGAGGCTGAGACAGGAGGAGCGMAAGCTAAGGCCAGCCTCAGAACTCAGCCAGTCCCTGTCCCCAAATATAAAACAGAAAGGGCTGGGGTGTGGCTCGGTGGCAAGGCGCCCCTGTGTCCAATCTCCAGTACCAAAAAAAGACCCCTGGCCGCCAGCTTCCTCACCCGCCAGCCCAGCCCCACTTGCCCCATGGGACACGGTGGCCCTCCGGCCCGGCCAGCAGGTCTCAGCTTCAGCCTTGCTACAGGAGCTGGGGCCTGAAGTGGCTGCTGCCAGGAGCCCGTGTCCAGGGTCTGAGGGGTCCTCCTGGGGGAGGGGAGGCCAGGCATCTGCTCTCTTCTCTGTTTTAATTTCCCCGGGGTGACTCTGCCATGCCACCAGGTTCAATGTCCCCCAGGTCCTTAACTGGGTAGGAGCACATGCCCCCAAGGCAGGAGTCGTAGTCGGCCAGAGTGGGACTCACCGAGAGGCCCCACCACACACCCCACCCCACTCAGCACGCTGCCCCCCACACCCACTCCCACCCCGAAGGGCCCCGCTCATGGGGCCTGTCTGAACAGGGAGGGAGTGCACCTGACCTTCAGGCTCAGGGCCGGGTCACACTGCTTGAACACAAAGTCCCAGATGTCCAGGGTTCCGTCCATCTTGGTGGTGAAGAACACTGCAGGCCTCACGGGGCTCCAGGCGCCGTCAGTGAGGTAAGCCATGTGGTACCTGGGGAGCCAGCGCCCAGTGTCAGGGACCGTGGTGGGAAGGGGCAGAGCGCCCACTGAGCCACAGCTCTGCCCTCCCAGATGCTCCGGGGTCTTAGAGTCTTGCTGGGCAGGAAGTTCTTTCTTGTGTCTGACTTGTAGCCATGCCTGTCCCACCCACCCCTGGCACAGAGACTGCTCTTTACAGGGCTCCAGGCATAGTCCTTCCCGTGGGCTGGGCACTGGTGTCTCTCCACAGCAAACCAGGCAGCAGGCACGTGCTGCTGGGCTGGGGCCAGGCCAGGGCACTCAGAGGCAGCAGGAGGAAGGGCATACCTGGGAAACTTCCTGATCTGGTGCCGGCAGAGTTCTACTTCCTACTGGGCTTAATCTGGATTTTCTAAAGTTTATTCAATGAACATGGAACCTTTTTAAAAATCACACACACACACACACACACACACACACACACACACACGCTCATGGCAGAGACTTGGAATTTTCCATCAACTCCTCTCCCTCCCTCCCTGGTGGTACCTTTGCAGCTGGGCCCACTGTGGCCACATTGGGGACTACATTTCCCAGCCTCCTTTGCAACTAAGTGGGAGGAGGGGGAAATGGTCTAGACAAAAGGGCCTCTGGACGTGTTGGACAAATGCATCGTTTTTCAGTATAAACACATCCCAGATATTAGGATTGAAAACCTTAGTCGTTGCTTTTTTCCCTGGAATTCAACTTTCCTGGGGATCCTGAACTTCCTGTGTGGGGGATAGGGATTGAACCAGGGGCGCTCTACGTCCTTTTAATTTTTTTATTTTGGGTCAGGGTCTCRCCAGTTGCGGAGTCCAGCCCTGAACGCGTGGCCTCCTGCCTCAGCCTCCYGGGAATCCTCCAGTTTTATTTGCTGAACTTTACCGACRGCCACAGAGGCTCTGAGCTGAGCTTCCTCCGTCCGTCCCCTGCCCTCCTCTGCGCTGTCCCCTGCCCCAGCCTGCTGGGGGCTTACTTGGTCCACATGATGGACGACTCCCGGCTGTCCTCCGACCAGATGCGGGCTGTCCAGTCCCCGACGGTCAGGAAGTTCTTGGGGTAGAAGGGGTTTCTCTGCAGGGCGTAGATGGGGCCGTGGTGGCCTGAGAAGGTGCACACGATCTTCTCGGCTGAGGTCTTGGCYTTGCGGTTGCAGGAGACGACAATGCCCTGCTCCGTGCCCACCATGAACTTGGTCGGCTGTGGAGGGATGACAGAGGGGAAGGGACTATGGGACAGGGTGGCATGGCCAGCAGGCTGCCCAGGGGGCTGCAGGTGCTCAAAGAACCCGGGTGAAGCTCTGGGCAGGCTGGGACCCACCCAGTTCTTCTGTCCCTCTCTTCCCAGTCTTGGGCACCTGCTGGAGGACCCAGGCTTATGAGTCCCTCCCTGACCTCTGGTTCCTGGAGGTCACCACCTCTTTAAGGAGCATGGCTTTGTCCTTCAGGCCTTTGCCACAGGGATCCTGAATGTTTAAGATCTACAAGGCCCCGAGCAGGACACAGGGCCAGGCCACCCCTCGGGAGGCAGGCGGAGCCTCATCTGACCAGACGGTGACATGAGCCCTAGCATCATCCCGGTTAGATGTCCCTGAGGACTTGGAGCAGGTGGTCCCCATACTGGGAAAGTCGCCTGTCRGCCAGTGATGTGCCTGTCCCCTCTGGTCTGTGCGTGCCTCCAGGGGACCGTGACAGGTGCGTCCCTCTATGCAGGGAGCCCGGTCCTGCCAGGTCCCCATCAGGGCTGAACACAGAGCCCTGTGCTAGGGTGGGGGTGGGGATGCTGGGGAGCAAAAAGGCTGTGCCCAACGTCCTCAGGTGGACATGGAGACAGACCCTCACTTCTCCCTGCTGTCCCTCTCCCTGTGTGGRCTGGGCCACCCAAAGGCTGCACAACTGTGTGTGCCGCCGCCACAGTGCTGTGACAGGATGGCCAGGCATGGAGCCGGACAGAGAGGAAGCCAGGCGGAAGAGCTGGTCCACGTGGGGCCCTGGGTGGGGGATTAGAGGTGTTGTCCCAGTGGGTCCCGGGCCACCRGAGCCCCTAGCATCTGGCAGTGACACATCATCTGCAAACACGGGGTGCTGCCGCCTCAGGGCCTTTGCACTCTCGCCCCGTTATCCSCTTGGCCAGTTCTGCGTCCCTCAGAACCCTGCTGGGCTCTCACCTTGGCCTGGAGGACCCCGTAGGCTCTGCTTCACACTCACCCTGACCGCGGTCTAACCCACGGCGGCCACACCACCTGCCCCGCTCTCTGCCTCTGCCCCCAGCCCCTTCCAGGTATGTGCTTGATTTCTTCATCTCCCGTCTGTCCCACGTCCCAAAGTCACGCTCCTTGAGGACAGACACTTTGGAAGGGTGCCTGGTGTGAGCAGGGACTGGAAAGGTGTTTGTCGAACAACCGAGAGAATAATGTGAACGGGAAGGAAAAAGAGCCCCCGCTGCCCCCGGCAGCTCCCCGGGCCGTTCCCCCTGGCAGAGAACGTCATCAGCAGGGCCTGTGGCCAGCAGCTCAGGAGGTGCCACAGCCCGTCCAAAAGCCCTCGCAAAACCGGTGACAATACACACCTGTGTTCCCAGTGGAATGAGCCACACTAGCCAGGAGATGGGAGCGACCTGAGGGCCTCAGACGAATGAGTGGATTAAAAAATGGGATCCACCCACATGACAGAATATTATTCAGCCTTAAAAAGGAGGGGGATTCTGGCACCTGCTACAGCTTGGATGGACCTTGAGGTCATTGTCCAAAGGGAAAATGACACGTTTTATGGTCCCATTCACAGGACATTTCTAGCACAGACWGATCCACAGAGACAGAGAGTAGGCTGGTCGGTAGGGAGGTGGGGTGCGCTTATTCAAGGAGGGTTTGTGAGCAGTTTTGAGGGTTTGTGTCTATTTTTTGTTTGTTTTGTTTTTGGTACTGGCGACAGAACCCAGGGACATTCTACCACTGAGCCACACCCCCAGCCCTTTTTATTTCTTGAGACAGGGCCTCCCTAAGTGGCTGAGGCTGGCCTTGAACCTKCGATCCTCCTGCCTCAGCCTGGGATCACAGGTGGGCACCAGGGCGCCCAGCAGGAGTTTCAGTGTTGCAAGAGGAAAACAGMKGCAGAGGTGGCTGGCGGTGGCCACRGTGGCACCACGGTGTGAATGCGCCTCTGCTACCTTACACCTTAAAGTGGTAAAGACGGTACATTTTATGCATTTTTAAAAAACCATAATTAAAAATGCGTACACAGCTGGGGAGGTAGCTCAGGGACAGCGCGCTTGCCTGGCTTGCACAAAGTGCTTGGGTTCCATTCCCAGCAAATAAAGGAGAGAAAAAAAGGAAAAGAAAGAAGAAGAAGAAAAAACCCACACAGGCAACTTGAGACGGAGCTGAGCGGTCCTGAGAGGTTTGTGAGTGCGCAACGCAGCGGCATGGAAGGACGGGGACCTCAGCTCACAGGTAGGGCAGCGGGTGCCCCGCACAGGCGCACTTGGTCAGSACGGAGCCAGGACCAGGCCTGAGGGTGCTCACGGCCGCCAGCTCGAGCCTCCAAACCCCCRCGCGCAGGGCGGGATGTTTTCTGCGCCCTCTCACCTGCCCGGCCTCCTGTGCTTCATCCTCTTATGCCAGGGCTGGGGTCAGAAACCAGCCCCAGCCGAGAGCCACGTGAACAGTGTGGCCTTGTCTACAGCGTCCTCATTTGCTGCTTCCAGAAACTTCCCTCCTCTGACACAGCCAAAACACAGCTAAATTCTGCGTCCCCCGCCAGTTCTGGGGATTGAACCCAGGGCGCTGTACCACTGGGCTACACTCCAGCCTCCCCCCCCCTTTTTTTTTTTGAGAGAGAGGGTATTGCTAAATTGTGGAGGCTGCCCTTGAATTTACAATCCTCCTGCCTCAGCCTCCCTGGTCGCTGGGATGACAGGGCTGCACCACCACTCCCAGCTTGACATTCCTTTAGGGTTCCTTCCCCGAGGCCCCCCAGTACTGAGGGTGGAGCCCAGGGCCTCCTGCGTGCTGGGGAAGCCGGGGACCGTGGGAGGCCAGCCCACCCCTCAGCTCTTAGCCGGGCCTGTGCTCTGGTTCTCCAGGTTCTTCCTCTCATCTCACTTCCCTCTCCACCGCTTCGCTTTCTGCCCCAGAAGAAGGAAAGTGACCACKTTCCCTCCACACCCCAGGGGAGGCAGGGCCCTTCTGGGTTTTGGTCCTGGTCAGACCCCTTCCCGTAGAACGGGCTTTTCTGGATCTTGTTCTGTTGAAGATCACCTTCTGGTCCCCAGGGCCCCCAAGCAGGGGGTGGCTCAGCGGGCATGGGACCGAGCGCCTTCCCTTCCCCATGGACTCTGCTGCCCCCTGCTGGAGGTCATTGTGAAAACCAGGCAGGTGGAAGGCGCCTGCCAGGCCCCGGGCCCAGGGCTGGCCTGTCCTGAGGGGCTCAGGGAAGGGAGGGCCAGAGACTCACCAAAGTGGACTCGAACTCCAGGGAGATGGCGCCCAGGGCGTTCTCCAGCAGCTCCTTCCTGGTGATGTCCATGACCACCACCTCCGTGGGCTCGCTGATCTTGCGGATGTCCCACCACATGACCTGGCCGCCAGAGAGGGCAGCTTGGAGACCCTGAGGTCCCGGGCTTTCCCCTCCCTCATCYGGGGCATAAAGGGTGCAGGGCCCATGAGAGCAAGTGCCCTGGACAGTGGCTGAGCATCCGGGTCACCAGCAGCTGCCTGAAGCCAGGAGCCAGGGCCTGGCCCCAGCCGGACTGGATTTAAGTTGCCGGGCGGAGGCTCCCCGTGGCACAGCAAGATCCAGCAGGACGAGGACCCACGAGTGCTCCCAGCCACCGCCAGGAGAGAAGGTGGCAGCTGTTCCCGCACGTGGGTGCAGGAACCTCGGTCCAAACACTCTCCTGGCTGTACTTTTTTGGGGGGAGGAACCAGGGATTGAACTCRGGGCACTCGACCCCTGAGCCACATCCCCAGCCCTTTTTTGTATTCATTTAGAGACAGGGTCTCACGGAGTCGCTTAGGGCCCCACTGTTACTGAGGCTGSTTTTGAACYCRCAATCCTCCTGCCTCAGCCTCCCCAGCCCCTGGGATTACAGGCGTGTGCCGCCGMGCCCAGCTTTGCTGGACTTTTCCTGGTAAAAAAAACAAAATATAAAACCCACTTAAATATCCCAGGGGGTGGGGAGGCTGAGGTAGGAGGACCACAGGTCCAAGCCAGCCTCAGCWMCCTAGCAAGACCTTGTCTCAAAAATAAAAGGGGCTGGTGGGTATGGCTCCGTGGCAAAGCACCCCTGAGTTCAATCCMCAGTACCCAAACCAAACAGACCAACAGAGAAGGGATGACACCCTCCTACCAAGCAGTCCCTAGCAGCTTGGGCAGTGCTTTAGGAAATAAGAAACGTCTTTGAGAGCCGCTAAATGGAAGCTCAGAGGGTCTGAGGAGGGYGCTTGAAACGAGGCCCCCGGGAGGGCTGGCGGTGGTGGGCAGGGTGGAGGTCACGGTCTGATTTCACGTCTTTAGGTCTTGCTCCACGTGCATGCGTCACCCACTATGCAATTGACACATCAAATGTAAAAGGGAGGTTTCTCCAGGTGCCGTGGGGGGACGCGGGGCGCCATGCCGGGCCTCCTCTCCTCCCCGGGCTGCCCGGGTGCTACCTGCCCATCCGTGGATGCCGAGAAGCACTCAGTGCCCGTCTTCGACTGTAGCCAGATGGTGCCGTACACGGGGTCTCGGTGGCTGAACTCAATGGTGGACAGCTCGGCCACCAGGCTGCCCTTCCGTGTGTCCCAGCAGGCTGGCAGGGCAGGGAGGAGAGACACGGGTTACAGGAGGCCCCAGCTCTTTCTTCTTGGTGCCAGGAGCAGGGAAGGAGGGAGGCTGCTTCTCTGGCTTGACCGTGTGTAGACTCGGGAATTAGAACCAGGCTCAGACCGGCCTGAGCTTCTTATCGGCCTGCAAAACCTCCCGAGACCCCCAGAGTGCAAGCTTCATTCCCCCGCTGTGCCTCTGCCACCACCCGGGTTCTGAGGAAGCGGCTGGGAATGGGCCAGGCTGGGGATGGAGGGGGCCAGGGGGTAGAATCCCGGCTCCCCGCAGGGAAGAGCCCCTGAGAGGCCCTGTCAGGAAAATCCTCCTGCTGCTCCAGCTCCTCCAGTCCTCCTCCCATCCTCCTCCTCCCATCCTCCTCCCACCCTCCTCCCATCCTCCTCCTCCCATCCTCCTCC